GTATGAAGGAAATATTAAAAGGCTCAAGTAATGAATTCGAAGAAGCATACAATAAGAACTTTTCTGTTTTTTAAATGATCTTTTATTCAATTTTTTTCAATGGCTTTTTTCCCTCGGAAAATATGCTTTAACCAGCTGCTGTGACTTCGAACTTTTCTCCAGCATGAATATTTTACAAAACAGTCGCAACATATTATTTTACAAATGTCAACCGGTAACAAGAGTGTACGATGTGTAAATTGTCGCCATTTTATATTTTTAATTTCGCGCATGCGCGTTGTTTGTTTTTGATTTTGTCGACTGCACACTTTACTAGAGTCAGTTGGGCACCGTCTGTGAGAAAAAAAAGCACCATGACGCAATTTACTCTGCCAGAAATTTTGAAAACAGCATGTTGTACTGCAAGCTACGGCAGCCAGGAAAAATCACTGTGTTAATTCAGATAAGGAACGAACTCCAGAAATTGTTGATGAGGTGAGACCGTCATCAACAATTTCTGGACTTCTTTCCTCACAGGGAACACAACACAGAGGCCTTCCTCAAGTGCCTTGTGGAGGTAGTGCTGCCATGGGTCAAGAGATTATCTGTTGGAAGACCTTATGTCTGACAACAGAACTTTGCATCGTAACACAGAAGCAGGACAGACCAGTTATTGCTATCAGACAATTTCCGCGACTACACCACCCCTTACATCTGGCCAACTAACGTTCCAGACTGCACCGCACTTGATTATTATGTGTGGGGCTCAGTTGAGCGAGAGACCAACAGGACTTCTTGTAAGACCAAAGATGAACTCTTGACAAAGCTTATGGCAACTTTCACCAACTTAAACAAGGAGTCCGCCTAGAAGAGTTGCAGGAGATTCCGAAGTCGTTTGAAGACCGTGATTGAAGCCAATGATGAATACCTTTACTCTTTAATATTTCAAGGTACTTTTGTGTAGTTTTCGTAAATATATCTGTTAAAATGAGATGTCAGACTCATTTTCATTTTTTCATAATTTAGACGACAATTTATTCATCGTACCCTGTACGAGGAACATCGTTTCTATGAATTTCATGAAAGTAAAGAAATAAGTGCTAAGTTTAAAAGGAGAGAAGTGAAGATCAAATTCACTTAAAGAACGAAGGTCTTCAACATGCGCCCTCTAACCAGTAGTGTACGGCGGGCAAACAATGCAACATGCGAATAGTAATTTAAAATATGAGATCAAATGGCATCAAAGCTGAAGAAAGTATTAAGAAACAGGAAAATCATGCGAGAAACAAAGAAATAATGCTGACCTATGAAGTAATACCAGTCCTCTTATATGCCAGAGAATGCTGGACAATCTCCTCACGGCAACGGAAAATAGATTCTACAGATGAGCACTGAGAATACAATGAACTGAATATGTGAGCAATGACGACGTTTTAGAGAAAAAAGAATTTAAAAAAAGGACGATTAATCTTACCTTCATAAAGAGGCCATTGAAATTTCTGGAGCGCATAAAGAAGAAATAAGTCTTAGAAAACGTGAAACTCAAAGGACATATTGAAGGCAAGTGGCGCATAAACCATATACCGAGCCTGTGTAAATCGTTAGCAGAACATGGATTAGATGAATTGCTTCAGTGATTCGTTATCTGCGTCTTATGAACCCTTTGCGGGTTATTTAAAGTTAGACAATATTCTCATATTGTAAGATTTTTTGTGAGGCGACCATAATAGTTTAGTGATACAAGTCTTACTGATTAACCTATCGCTGGGGGAAAGAAGTATTCATATCACGCCCAAGGATAGTGGCGCGTAAGTGAATATAACAAACCCAAATGGAATTGGAACTCGGCTATCAAATAAACAACTCCGAGCTATCATCGATTTGCACCAGATGAACACCCAATCTGATACATCTAGATACTGATGAGGTTTGACTTTTTTTTAACTTAAGTGATCGTTCGGAGAACGATGTTTCAATGTAAAGTGGGCGTAAGTTTATATGGGGAGAACCAGGAAAAGCACAAAATTCGCTCTGAGCTATAAAGGACAGGAAGTCATGGAGAGACATGATCGCTTATACACTGAAGGAACTCCGTAGAAGAAGAAGAAGAAGAAGAAGAAGAAGAAGAAGAAGAAGAAGAAGAAGAAGAATGGATGAATGAATGAATGCTTATATTACATGTTTTATTCGTACATGAAGAGGGTGTACTATTTACATTATTCGGACTATTATCCTCATCTTTGCCGCCATATTTATTACAACGTCTCGGCCGTTGTATCCTCCTGCCTTCTTCAGGTGGTTGGAATGTCGAGCTGAACCCTTTATTTCGATCACTGGGGTAGACTGTTCTAATTCCACGTGCCATGTTTTTAATTTTGTTATCAGATATCTCCTGTTAATTCTCCTCTCCAAGTTCTCCCAAGTTCTGCCTTAACCGGGTATTGAACTAACACTGTTTGGGTCCTGTCACTGGATCTAATCAACGCCTTTATCCACTGTGCCATGTGTCCTTGAAGAAGGCCGGAGCGTACAAAGGCCGAAACGTTGCCATAAATATGGCGACAAAGATGAGGACAATAGTCCGAATAATGTAAATAGTGTACATAATACCTCATCTGAGAAATATAGACAGATAATGAAGAGGGTGACTCAATGTTTTAGGTAAGTATTTCTGAGCTGAAATACGGAGATTTAGCGAAAGCGAATCTTTAACAACCGCAGACAGTCTCCAGGGAAAGAAAAAAAAGAAATAAAAACTTTCGAGAAGATTATTTAGCAATTTAACAATTATCGTATCAACACGGTCATCATTCATCGAAACAAAATGGCTTCAGGGGTTTTGGAAGTGCTACAAAAATTTACCATGAGAACTAATCAAGACTTTTGTATATATACATATATATATATATATATATATATATATATATATATATATATATGGAGAGGGAGAAAGAGAAAAAAAAAGTGCTTAAATGTATATGGGAACACATCATTAGCTGAAATAAAATGCAGGATAAACTAACGCAATATTATGACGCATGCGCAAAATTTTAATCGACTCCTTTATGCCTCTGACGTACGAAGAGCAATAACAAGAAAGTTTCCACCAAGACGGAGTAAATTAAGAAGCATACCGAGTTCGTATCACTAAATACAAAACACAAAAACATGGAGATTTCTTTAAAATGAATTCACCCTAAGCAATGCAATAAAGCCACTAAGACACAATGGGTTACTGAGTATAAAAGAATAAGAGAAACAAAAAACATTATTAAGAAGCGAGAACAATAAAAGAGAAGGAATTAAGAAGACTAAAGTAAACGATTGATATTACATTTACATTTTTGGAGATTAAAATTAACTACAAAGAAAGAATCCGGAAGAGAGTTTCACCAGCGAGAAGAGCGAATAGAAGAACATATTAGCATTGAACATGCGATTACATCAAGTCATTTCAGCTGTAAAATGATGAGACCTAACTGCCAATATAGTACTACACCTAAATTTGTAAAGTCCAGTTACCAAAGAGGAAAGTTTAGCAGAATAATTACCATTAAAATCTTTATTGGAAAGGCACATTACGGTAGGGGAAAAAAATTGACTGAAGCTGAGATGCTAGGTCAGGACAAATAATATTGCAGATTCTTCTTTGTATTGTATCAAGAATCTATAAATACATTGAAGAAACACTAGAGCAGATGTGATATCAATATTCAATGCATATAAAAATGGTAAACTTCCTAGCAGCCGATCTTTCAATTTATTCAATAAAACTAAGTATAAAAAATATATGCTGATTCATAGATTTTATTCCATCATGGGTTATTTAAAGCCGGAAAATATTTTGATTTTCGTTCTATTTGTTGCAAGTATATAATGAATTAACACTATTTTGGTGTTAGCAATGTCTTTCCCAGATACAAGACATATTATTTAACCCATAGATAGGAGAAGAAGTTATGGATTCATACTTTTCCTAAATGTAAGGGAATATAACGGAGGCGACTTTAATTCGAACTTAGGTTCGATTTATTTTATTTCAAGCTGCTATCCACCAGCACCCCATCCTACCCGAAGTTAAGCAGCAATTTAATTGCGGTCAGGTGATTAAGGTGGACAACAGGAGGCACTTAGTCTAACTCAGGATGTAGAACACCAAATGAAGATCGTCTGTAATGATACAGCGATTCAGAAACAACGACAGCTATGGTTTGCCGTACTGCTTCTTTCCGTGGAGCCTCAGATACAATGCCACCGCCGACATTGAGGTATTTGACACGGCAGGTAAGGCTTCGATCGAGTGTTTGGATATATATGTTGAATGGGACTCTGAATCAACCGAATATTTTTCCACTTGATCAAGAGTTGCACGACTCTGTTACCGAAGGATGTGTCCTTTAAAAAACGATTGGTCTGCTGCATTTCTAGAATAATCGAGTATTAGATCAAACTGACGTCACGGTATCAATGACTCATTGGAAATCACAATTAAGAGATGAACAACAAGAATTAGAACCATCTGATAAGGAAATTCAGTTGCTACAAAAATGGAAATATAGACCTAGTTTATATTAGTGTCAAAATAAGGCTGATATATGACCATTTTACCCGCCAGTCAAAAAAAAAAAAAATGATATATGCCTATTCTCAAGTAAGATCAAGAAATTAGGCATATATCCGCATGAAAATGCGGCTTACACAGAAGTCATAACTGTTGACATAGACTCAGTTTAAATAAGAGTCACAAACAAAGATAGGATAAGTTTACGTTGGATTCATTTATTTGTTTTTTACGGCTTATCAACCTTTTTCATGTTTTTATAGGTTTTTAGATTGTGGGAATTTTTTCGCGATAATGATTTACTGATAAAACTTTTATTAATTAACCTATAGCTGGGGGGCAGTAAAAATGGAAGTGTATTTGCCCGTATATGAATAAAAAGATCCCGCCTGAAATTGAAACTCATCTTTCCGATTAAGAATTACGAGACGTTATCCTTTACATCACCACACTTCCAAACTTACAATACCCAGTTTTCCCATGCGGTCACCCATCTAACCACTGCCCGGGCTCGACGCTGCTTAACTTCGGTGATCGTACGAAAACGTGTGTTTAAACGTGATATGGCCGTAAGCTGTTTTACGCTTGAGTGAACACAATGTAAAACATAAGTCCAGTTTATACTTGAATGAAAAAACTATACATTTGTCCTGATAACTCTAGAAGTAACAGAAAAATTAGATATAGATGTGGTTAACACTTGAGTGAATGCACGCTGATCTTGTCTACAGTTTAGTCAATATCCACCCGGACGGTGGCCTATTCTCCGCAGGGGGATCTTCATACCCCTATGTGAGGATATTTTGTTTGGGGTATTCTAAATTATTTCGATATAGCCACTTCATAGTAATTGAAATAAATTACATTAATAATGAAAATTTATCGAGGATATTTAATTAAAGAATTAAAATCTTGAAAATGTTTTTTTTTTCTTCTTTAATCCAGATGATGCATATTTAATTTGTCATGCGAGAAATCTACGTTCATTTTGTTAAAGATATTTTATCTCTCAGTTTTTGAGCATTTAGATTGATTCTAAATGATAACACTAACGAAAAAGTATAGTCTAACACATCTATGATTCTCGTTGTTCTTTGCTTCGAAACCCAACACTCAATATGGTGTCAATAAAAGAGGAATAATAAAGGGTGTTTCATTAAGACGGATCCAAGTCAGCAGTAAATAAATCAATGTTATTGGTGAAAATGTATTTATTTCTCTATTGGATCATGTAATTTAAGTCATGGCAATTATGTGTGAAAAATATTATCGCCTAAATATCCGCCAAATCTGAAACAAAATCTCATTAAATTTAATTCACATTTAAAATCGGTCTTATTTGAACACCATTTACAGCTGAATTTATTGGTACATTTAATGTGTGTTTATCTACTAGTTTTTTTTTCTAGAATAATCACGGATCAATGCATATTTTTTATGCCTGCAAGATTTCATAGCTTTAGCATAATTCACTCGTAGTCAGTTTATGAACATTTCAGCAACCCTGGTACCTGGAAAGAAACAATTAACAATAATATGAAGAGTTGAAATGAATCCATGCAAGATTTCACAACACTCGCGTCACACTCTATAACCTATGAAAATTTCGGCTCACCCTTTCATATACGAAGTGTTTCATTAAAACGGATTATATATAAGGGTGTTTCATTAAGACAGATCAAAGTCGGCAGTAAATAAATTAGTGTTATTGATGAAAATGTATTTATTTCTTTATTGCATCATACTATGCAAGTCATGGCAATTATGTGTAAAAATAATATCACCCAAATGACCCCCAAATATGAAAGAAAAAGAAAAAATCATTAGACGCTTAAACTTAATTCACATTTAAAATCGGTCCAAGTTATTGGAACACCTTTTACTTTATTGAATTTACTACTACAGGACAAACATTTCAGACAGAAAGTAATTTCTCATAGCATTCTCTAGAAGATGTCGTCATTAAATTAACGATAATAATAAACTAGAATTGATTTGAATAAAAAAGCCAACCACATGCCGGCTATTTTAAATGGGGTCGATATATTCATAGACGAAAGGCTTTCTTTTATTCACTTCTGGTTCCTCCAAAGCAGATCGGCTTCACAACTGTGAACAGAAAAGTGACATCGAGGCTACATAAGAAAGTTACGTAAACTTAATCATCCCAAATAAAATAAACAATTGTCTTTTTTCAAATTAAGATCGCTAAGGCCTTTAACTACAGTAATAATAAGAACTTCTGATTTATTAATAAAATCGTGACTTGTCAGAGACTAAAACTCGCTAGATTTTGAACTCTACCGTCTGTAACAGCAAAATTTTCTTAAACGGGTTACATCATAATTCTCCATCCCATTAAATATTTAATATCTAAAAAAAAAAACACTAAACTAATTGAGTTTCTTTTTTCCAGTTTTTCAGATAAGACATTTAGCCATCTTGATACCATTTGTCATAACAATCACTGAAAAATATTTTGAGTTATTCAGCTAGAAAATCAGGTTAAAAACGTTTTGTGTCAGCAACACTGCATTCTAAAATGAACAATGGCGAGAGGGAAAAGATCATTCAGGCCTTCAGTAATAGAATCAACATTAATCAACATTAATACTCTGGTTTCTCTCTTCAAACACCATTCAAAAATCATAAAATAACTGTGAATGTTTTTAAAAAGAGTGAACATGAGAGAGGAAAACTGATTCAAGAGTTCACAACAGGAAGAGGGATTATTATTTCAACTTAGAGATAAAGAGATCAATTAGAAAAGATCAAACTCAATCAATAAGTGTTGTAGACTAGTTTTCACAGTGTAGGCTTGTATTTCACTAAGTCGGTCCTAAAAGTGTCCGACGTACAAAACGTTAGGAACTTGAAATAATAATTAATGACGCAGCAATCTAGTTGTGGTGGTTGATACTTCAATGTCCGACATCGACTGACTCACTCAACTCCACTGAGCCCCGCTGGCGACTGCTACTACTACTCTCTGCGGGAGAGTCTATTTACAATAGAAATAGGTACGATCAGGTATAACAATAAGACAGTTTGAACGTGAAAGGGGTGTTTCAGTTATGACAGTCCAAAGAGCAGTTAAAAAGTTTGATAATTAAATCGTACGTGAAACGTGTGAGGCAACTTGTTACTCCGGGACAGAATGTTAGAAAGGTAGAGGGCGAAGATAATCTTGAATAAGTTGGAAATATATATATTTGATCTTTAATTAAATTGTTAATGAGCATCCGTTAATTTGCTATGATTAATTAATGATGAACATGTCATTTTCGTTTTGATCGATTTCATCAGGATTCTTCTGTTAAGCTTGGAGAGTCAGTATATATTATTACTCAAAGTAGAGCCTAATAGTGTTATAAAGGCCTCGGAGAATTCCAGTAAGATATCTTTAATCATTTCTAATATGCAACGGTTCAAAGCTTTATCTGGACAGTTTTGCTGTTACAGTTGCTGGAATGTATTATAGAACATTTCCAAATGTCGGACACTAGAATAGCTGAGTCGGATTTCGTATTAGTCTGTTGTGATCATTTTCTCGAAAATGCGCAGTATATTTTATTGAATTTTCTACTACACGGCAAATACTTCAAGCAGAAAGTGAATAGTCTTGAATAGATGACGACATTAAACAAAATCCACGAATCTCTCTTTTCTAGTTTTGTATTAAATAGGAATAGTAGACTTGGCTCGCTAATTCTGGGTGATTATCGGTCTAAAATAAAGGATATATAAATTCCAATATGTGGAGAAGACAACAGGGAAATGACACGTCAATCATCCCCAAGAATATGTGCGAATTCAGTGATAATAAAGAAATGTCTGTAAAGTGTCCGGTTCTCCTACGTCCTGAAGGGATATGGCTTAAAAAAAACTGTAAATTTTATATATGAACTTGTAGCTTTCACCTTAAAACACCTGTACAAAGGTCAAGAAATTCAATTGTAGTTTCCTCCCGTACCATCACCGAAGTTAAGCAACGTCGATCCTGGTCAGTAGCAAGATTGGTAACTGTTTGGGAATATCAGGTACTGTACAGTTGGATTTTTGGGTGGTGTAATGAATAATAGCATTGAATTGTTAATCGGAGAGCCAAGTTCCAAATCCAATTGGGTTCGTTATATTCACTTTTATGGTATATACCCATGCGAGAGTTAAGAATCCATCTTTCCTATGGGTTAATTAATAAGACTTAAACCATTAATCTCATTAAACCATTATTATCTAAAAAAATAAAAATTAAAAAAAAAAATTAAATTTCGCCATTAAATAATCCATAGAGGATTAAAAACCGCTAAAAAACCCCTAAGGCATCAACAACCAACCAATTATAGCTTTCGGTTGGGTCCGGGCCCATAACAGATCTGTGATTGATGCCAATGAATAACATTTCTTCGTATTTTCTAAACATGTATATAGTATTTGTACGTTATTTGAAAATATAATATTTTTTTTTTTGGTTTCAGTTGAATTCTATATTTTTTCTTTATATTATAATTTCTTCTTAAAGTGTTCTAGAAAATATTTCTGACCTCACCCCCCCCGCAAAAAAAAACGGACAAAATCTGTAATACTTATTCACAGTATCGTTAATTAATGCTTATAATACATTCGTTCAACGCTCATTGAAACGATATTTTGCAATTCTTGGTCAACCGAAGGAAAATGAAAACAGTTTGTATACCTGTGGGAATTTTATTAAACTTCGGTTAATACATTATTCTTTTAGGGCGTGGAAGAGAATGATTTTCTAAAGCTACTTAATATTTTGAGCTATTAGCAACGTTTATCATTTCCAATTCGTCTCCTGCCATCAATTTACACAAGCTCGTAAAATTAAATTTTCTCCCCTGTTCATTTTGCATTCGATATGTCAAGTTAGTGTTAAATTCTCTAAGCCTTCTTTCCTCATTATGTGTTTGAATTGATTCTTTATGATTTTTTAATGTCTCTTTTGTTTGTATTTTTTATTAAAAAAAATCCTTATTGTTAACTTTCTCCGTCAATGGTATTTTCGGCATGCTTCTCCGTCTTCTGTCATCAATTTACAGAAGCTCGTAGAAGTATCTTAATGGCTGTTTTCCTATGTTCCTCTTACATCTTTATGGCCTGTAAGTGTCAAGTTCTCTAAGCCTTCTTTCCTCATTTTGTTTTTCAATTGATTCTTTAGGATTCTTGGTGTCTTTTCCGTTACCATTTTCCATAAAACTCCCTCATTGTTCACTTACTCCGTACATTCTCAGCATCTTTCTGCTTCCTTAAGTTTCTTCCTCATTTGTGAGGAGATTGTACAGTGTCCATTGCTATATAGGTGTCCAATCATCTTTTCGTTTGTTTCTTTTCTAACGTAATGTTCCCGTTTCTTAATAGATTGTTTCGCCTTTGAAATGTATATTTCTGTTGCAATGAGCATTTGGATTTCGGTGCCATATTTTCTCTCATCTGTTTAAACAGTTCGGCTAACAGTTTAATGTCCGTAATTACGTGATTATGGCATTTTTATTTCGGAGATCGAGTCTTCGGCAGTTTTTGTGCTCAGCGCCCTACATTCTGTTTTCTTT